GACAAAGCAAATGTTTATTTTTAATGCGGTTTTTTTTCCTGTACCGTTACTGGATGTTCACTTTCACTTTCTCGTTTGTTCCACAGCTTCTCTTCCTGGGCTGGGAATGCCGAGACTTTGCAGCTTTACAAGAGGATTTAGGGCACTTCCTGGAGCTGTAGGGGCACTTGGGCCCAGGAACAGCCCATCTCGTGGATCGTGTTAGTGATGGCAGCTCACCTGGAGAGAATGTGGTGGTGTGTGAGTGATTGTCCCTGAAAACAGGCAGACCTGAGCATTGTGAAGATTAACATTCCATTTATAAGGCTTTTTTTTTTCCAAACAGCTAAACCATGATACTGCTTTAAGAAGGGATCTGACCTTTCTCTCCATTACCTGCCTGCCAGGGCATGAGCAGTGCCAGGCTGGATGTGTCACCAGCCCCCCTCACCTGGGATGATCTGCCCTGTGTTTGCCCTGGGGATGTTATCAGAGCCTGGGGAAGAGAGGTGGAACCCGAATTTGGCGTCATGAAAGGTAAAATCAATTTCCCTGTGTTTTTTTGGGGTTTGTTTACGTGCTTTACTAAGGCCAAACTTCCTTGTTTTGAGAAAATGGAGTGGCACGTGTTCACAGTGCACGTGCTTGTAAGTCATGGAATGAGAGTAAATAATGTCCTGTGTCCAATTTCTGGGCAGGATAGGAAAAGGTGTGGATTTAACCACCCCTTCTCCAAAGCAGAATGTGGTTATGATTCAAAATCCAGTAAAACTGTTGGAAAGTGGGTCTGAACTTTTTGAATCTGTGTGTTTGTATTAAAACACAGATTAGTGCTGCCTGACAGCCCTTTCCATGAGAGAACTTGTAGCTCGAACACATTTTTACCTAATCCTTTGCAACTATTTCAGTCAAGAATCGAGGGACATTTTGGATCATTTCTGCTCCTGTGTAAGTCACAGCAAACCCCCCCAGCTGTCCTAAATATGGGATTTGATTCAGCATGGCCAGTAGTCATCGCTGGGTATTCCTTACCCTGCAATATGTTCCAAATCACATATGGTAATTGCTCTGAAATCACATTTCCCTCTAGGGAGTGTCCCACCACCACCTCTTCACTGTGAGGTGAGATTTTCTTGCTGGATTCAGTGGGAAGAGCAGGTGGGAAAGATAAAGCCCAGAGCTTTTGTTTGCTTGTGTAAAATAACATACGGAATATTTTGGGATCTATTCTCTGCTGTATGTATACAGGCTATAAACAACTGTCCTGCCCTGTGATGTGATGTTCCAGTGCCTGATCACCCTCTGGGGGGAGAACCTGTTCCTGAGATCCAACCTAAACCCCCCTGGCACAGCTCCAGCCGTTCCCTGGGTCCTGTCCCTGTCACACCGAGCAGGGGTTGGAGCTGCCCCTCGGGAGGAGCTGCAGCCCCTGGTGAGTCTCCCCTCAGTCTGCTCTGCTCCATCTGAACACACCAAGTGCCCTCAGCCACCCCTCACATGGCTTCTTCCCCTGACCCTTCACCATCTTCATAGCCCAAAAGCATCACCTTCCAAACCCCTGGGTTTTTTCAGGTTAATGTATTTAACTTGCTCTTTTTCACGTGTTCGTGCCTCTCTTTGCCCTCGGATGGGAGCGTTGCCGCAGGATTTCGGTGTGTGAAGCAATCCCTCCCCCCCCAGTGTTTGTGCCTGGCTGGGAGCACTGGGCAGGGCAGACAGGCAGTGTGCAGGTGCAGGTTTTAGCACGCCTGGAGCTCTGGGAGCACCAGCGAGGATGAACTCAGCACCTGTCGTAATCCCAGGTTTTGTAAGGTCTGTATGTGGTTATTATCAGTGATTTGGGACCAATCCCTCAGCAAGCCAAGCACTCCCCCTCACTTCTGCAGGAGCTGGGATTTGGGACTGCAGGTGATTGACAACCTTTCTCTTTTAGCTCCTTCACGAAAATGCTTCACCAGAGGAAGAGTCTTTATGTAAAAGACACATTTATATCTATAAATGAAAGTGTCCATGCCCGAATTTTCCAGATTTGGTCTGGATGGATGGATGTGAGGACATGATCTGTTCCCCCAGTAATTTCATTAGCTACAAAGCCCCAAATAAGATTTTCTGGCTGTGTAATTCCTGCCTGCAGCAGGCACATATCCCCCCACGTGCTCCCAAGTCAGTGTAGTTTCCTCAAGCACAGTCTCACACCCTCTAACACTGCCTCAGTCTTGAAATGCATCTTAAAAAGAAACTGCCTGGAGTTTGGCCCTGGAGTGTGTGGCTCAGGAAACTCACTGTTTTGTCAGCACTCCTGCTGCTGGAGTGTCTGTGAGCCTGAGGCTGTCCCAGAGCCAGGGTGGGCTCTGAAGTGCAGGAATAAAGAACCCAAAAATTTAAATGATACAGGAAAACCCTACTTCCCCATGAGGAGGAGCTGTGGCTGCCCCATCCCTGGAAGGGCTGGCAGTGATGGGCCCTGCCTGAAGACTGTTAGAAGAGCCCCCAAAGCTGTTTGTGCAGGTCCTTGGGCTTTTGTACCCCCCGGGCTCCAGCAGGATCACCCTGCACAGGTGACCAGATCCAGCAGCATCGGGAATTAAACTCGCGTTACTCATCCCAGTTAAATTGCACCAACCCCGTAATGCCTCAAAGTTCAAATAAAACAAAAAAGATAAAAAAAGAAAAAGGAGGGGGGGTGGTTCTTTAATCCATCGGATGTCTGCAGCACAGGCAACTAAAGGTCACAGACAGGCAGGACAGGCGCTGGCAGCGCTTTGCCCCGTCCTTGCCACCTGTTATCGGCTCTGTCCCCTGCCTGTGCCAAGGGAAGGGACAGGGCAGCGGCCACGCGGGGCTCTCGTGTGCAAGGACCTGGCCGGGCTGGGGTCCTCACAGGATGGGCCAGGCTGGAAGGGACCAAAGTGTCCCGTCTGGTCCCCCCTCCCTGTTCCAGCAGGGCCATGCCAGAGCACATGGATTGCGTGCCGACGGTTCTGGAATATCCCCAGTGAGGGACACTCCACACCCTCCCTGGGCAGCTTGTTCGCTGCGCAACAAAGAAGTTCTTCCTCGTGTCCAGGGGGAAATTTTTGGGCATCAATTCCTCTTGTGCCCCCGCCCCCCCCCAGCGGATGGGATGGGATGGGATCAATTCCTCTGACCCCTCCCCACGGATGGGGTCCCCTCTCGGTGTCTCCTCTCGAGGCTGAGCAGGCCCAGCTCCCTCAGCCTTTCCTGTCCGAGCAGCCGCAGTCCCTGGATCACCGATCCCTGTTCGGGGGGTCCCGGCCATGGGGGGGTCCCCTGTCCAGGGGGTGTGTCCGTCCGTCCCCCCCCGCTCAGGCCACACTCGGCCCCGCCCCACACGCGGATGGGGCGTGGCCCGCGGAGAGGCCTGACCTGAAGTAACCCCGATCACACCACCGGGGGGCGTGGCCTGCGCGGGAGGGGGCGTGTCCGGGGGCGTGGCGGCGGGAGCGCCAGGCCGGGGGCCCGCGGCGGCTCCGCTGCACCGGCACCGTGAGGTGAGGGCGGGGCGGGCACCGGCGGGGGGGGACACACGGCGAGGGAGGGGACGCACCGGGGGGCTCCGCGGCACCGGCGGGCGCGGCGCTGCGCGGTTGGGGCTGGGCCGGGCGGGCGGGAGCTGGCCGGGCGCCGGGAGATGGCCGGGCCATGCCGTGCCAGGCCATGCCGTGCCCAGCCGGGCCGGCGGGATGTAACGGGATGCCGGGCCGTACCGGGAAGAGCCAGCGGGAGATGGAGCACCGAGCGCCGTCGCCTCGGGGCTCCTCGGCCCGGTGTCGGTGCCGCTCCGCAGGCGGGGGTGGGCGGGGGGCTCCCGGCGCCGGCCGGTTCTGCCCCGGTTCCCTCCCGGTTCTCCCCCGGTTCCCTCTGGGTTCCTCCCCGGTACCCCCCCCGGTGCCGCCGGTCCCGTCGCTGCCGTGTCCGCCCCGCGCCCCCCGCGCGGTGGAACAACACGTGGGCGGCGGGGAGCGAGCCCGGCGCATCCCTCCTCCATCCCATCCCATCCCATCCTTCTCCCAGCCCCCGGGGGGGAATTTCAGGATCTCGGGCTTTCAGGATCTCGGGCGAGAGTTCGGGTCTGGTTGTGCCGAGGGGCCACCCCCCCCCCGGGATGCTCAAGAGCGGCGAAGTTGTAAAAAGCGGGTTTGCGGAGCAAAGCGAATTGTTCTCCGCCTCGCCTTTTCGCGGCGTCTCCTCTTAAGTCTTCTAGGGGAAGTTTAAAATGAAAAACGCCGTGTTAAAAAAAGTATCCAGAGTGTGAGTGGAGCGCGTTCTGGTTTAGCAGGCAGAAAATACTCAGCAAACTGGTTTAAGTGATGCCAAATTCTCTCAAAAGCAGCGGGATTTAGACAGTCTCGAGTGTTTTAGCAAACTAGGAGAATTGTAAATATGGGGGTTTTTTTTTGGTTTCTGTGGAGTTTTAGGTTGGATCTCAGGAAAAGGTTCTTCCCCCAGAGGGTGGTTGGGCACTGAACAGGCTCCCCAGGCTTTGGTCACGGCCCCAAGGCTGCCAGAGCTCAAAGAGCATTGGGACAATGCTCTGAGGGACAGGGTGGGATTGTTGGGGTGTCTGTGCAGGGCCAGGAGTTGGACTTGATTAGATACTGGGAAGAAATCCTTCCCTGTGAGGGTGGGGAGGCCCTGACACAGGTTGCCCAGAGAAGCTGTGGCTGCCCCATCCCTGGAAGTGTCCAAGGCCAGGTTGGACGGGGCTTGGAGTGGCCTGACCTGGTGGAAGGTGTCCCTGCCATGGCAGGGGGTGAAATGAGGTGAGCTTTAAGGTCCCTTCTGACCCAAACCATTTCAGGATTCTGTGATCCTTGTGGGTCCCTTCCAACTTGGGATATTCTGTGACTCTGTGATTTTTGGAATTGGCACAGACACATCTGACTGGAGGAGACCTGGGAAGTGTCTCCTCCACTTGTAAACTGAGGTTTGTGTGTGTAATGTCAGTACAGTAAATGTGAAAACCAGATACCTAGAACCTCTCCCCTGTGGACGTACATTCATAGGATCACAGAATGTCCTGAGCTGGAAGGGACCCACAGGCATCATCCAGTCCAACTCCTGACCACTGCCCTGGGGAGCCTGTTCAGTGCCAACCACCCTCTGGGGGGAGAACCTGTTCCTGAGATCCAACTTGACCCTGCCCTGCCCTGCTCTGCCCTCGGTCTGCTCTGTTCTGGCTGAGCAAACCCAGTGCCCTCAGTGCTCCTCGTGTGGCCCTTCCAGAGCCTTCCCCATCCTCGTGTCCCTCCTCTGAACACTCTCCAGTAGCTTTGGCTCCTTCCTGTGCTGTGGATCCCAACCTGCCCCAGGAGAGAGCAGTGGACATGGAGTTCTGGGCGTTAGAACCCAAAGGGCTTTGCAGGGTGTTTGGTATGAGCTGAGGACGTTTTGGGATGGGAAGTGAAGCAATGCCCAATGATTAACCAGGAGGCATGGCTCAGGTGGAGCCAGGGCTGAGCTGGAGCCAGGCTGGGGCAGTCCCTGGGCACATTAAAACGGGGCAGCACCGGCCTGGCAGAGCCGGGCCCGGAGCAACGCCGGGGGTGTTCGGTGCTGGGGGCCCCTCTGGGTGCAGGAACCATCCCCTCGCCCTGTCCCGACCTGGAAACTGCCCCCCAGCCCTGGTATAGGTGAGCACCTTGCTGATTTTTTTTTTTTTTGTGGGGCAGGAGAAGCAACTCAGTAATTGACTTGTTACACAGGTGTCATCTCTTTTTAATCTGTTTTTACCTTTTTTCCTCTGCTGTTTTCTGTTACCTGGGTTCCTTCAGGTAGGGCAGTGAGAGCACAAAACCACTTTCAGGTGGTTCATGTTGACCAGCAATGCCACAGATCCCTGGGCTTTAATCAGGAGACCTTTAAATACAACTACTTTTATTCCTTTCCTCTCTATATGACATATCAATATTATAGAAGTATTATTCTGATTCTTTGAAAGAACCTACAACTTATTTCCACTGAAATATTGATGTTCTTTTCACAGTGGATTTGCCTTCAGAATGGGAGGGTTTGGAAAGATAAGAAACTTTCATTTCCATTATCCAGGTTTCATGCCTGGACGTATTTTACAATAGTAAAAGTGATCTTAAAGTGCAACTATTCTAAAACTTCTGAAGTCTTGTATTCTTACACGTGCATTTCACTGTCAAGCCAGAAATGTGACTAATGGTAGTAGCAGGGCTGTGGAGGAGTGAATGGGGGTTTGTTTCACCTCGGGCAGAACCAGACACGTCACATTTTGGGTTGGGAGTGCAGAGCTGTCGCTGCTCGTGGTGTGAGCAGGATTTGGGCATTCCATGGCCCACTAGAGCTGACAATCCAGATAATTTTGGTTTTCAGAGTCTAGCTCAACAGTATTAAGACAAACAGTACGTGTGCAGTGGCTCGTGGCACACGAATTTATCTTGGTGCTCAGCTGAATTCAAGGTGCTTCTTAAGAACTGTGGCAATTACACTTCAGAGCCAGTGCCATGTGCAGAGGTGTATAAATATGATACACCCCTATATTTGTACACATATTATACACCTCTGTATTTGTATATATGAAATGTACCTCTGTATCTGTATATATGAAATACTACTCTATATTTGTATATATAACTATATTTTTGTGTATATATAATATGCCTCTATATTTGTATATATACAGTATAACAGTGTACAATGCACAGTTTGCAGCACTGAAATCCAAAGGCTCCAGTGAGGAGATCTCTTAGAAAGTCCATGTTTCATTTAGCCCCAGACAATGCTGAAATTAATTTAAATATGAATAAGGACTCTCAGCTGTGCTGAGAACAAGCCAAGCTTATCACTTCAGTGCTGATTGCAAAACCCCAGAGGAACTCCTGGCTTTGGGACTGGGCTCCAAGGGGTTGGAAGTGCCTTGGGAAATAAACCTGAGTGGGGTTTCATGGATAGCTGATTTCTCTGGAGCAGAGTTGGACAAACCAGGTGTTGGGAGTCAAGTTGTTTGAGCGTGGCAGTGGGATCAGGACGTGTGGGGTTGGGTGGGTGGGTTTCTCATGGAATATTTGAGTGAAATGCTTCACTCTTCCTGTTCCCCTGCTTCCAAAAAAAAACCCCCAAAAAGCCTTGAAATTTCCTTTTTAATATATTAGTTATTGAAATTAGAAAAGGTTTGTCTTCCATGAGATAGAGTTGGAGTTAGTTTGGCTGTGTCCCAGAACTCTTCGGCGCTGGTAATTGTGCCAACAGTAAATCTGTCTGGATGAAAATCTTTAGGAGTGATCTGATGCCAGGATAAACATACACATAAATACTGTCTTCATGTTTACATGCACAAACAACATTTGATTCGAGTTTTGTGCTATCTGAGCACCTCAGTTAAAGAAATCTCCCTGCGTGGTTTAGTTTGCACATCACAGATGGATACAGCGACTTTCTGGTTCTGCTTCCCCTTCTTCTCATCTCTACCCTCAAAACTAGGGGTTTTTTTAATGCTTTTCATGTCCATGTGGGGCAGATATTTGTGACTTTTCAGTTATAAAATGGTTAATGATTCTCTGTCAAATGAAGTGCCCATGGCCACAGAGCAACTGGAGTTTGTGGGAGGACTGATGTCAACACAGGATTTGATCTAAATAATTCAGTCAAGTACATTCATGGTAAAAGTGCATGAGCCAGTTGGATGAGTTTTTAATTCTCAGTTACTGATGGGAAGCAGGGATTGCTCTGGCTGCAAATGCTTTTCTGGGCCCTCATTACAGCCACCATCACATCCCATCTGTGTGATGACACGGGCCAGGTTCTTGTGCTGCTCAAACCATCGTGTTCATATGGAGCTGCATCCCTGTGCTTGGCATAACATGGCTGGAATTAGCAGGACTGATGAGGTTTTCCCACCAGTTCAGGATGTCAGTGTGGTGTGGGAGTTACAGGTGTCAAACAGTCTGTTCTGCATAGGGAAGACCCTCTTGGGAGGTTGGGGGTTCATGTCCCCTCGTCTCCTCCTTGTCTGTATTGCTCTACCCCAGTTTGATGGATGAACTACTGGGTTTTTCATGTAAAGATATGATATGCCAGCAGTGTCTTCTAGCCACCAGCTTTTCCAGAGGTTTCTTGTTGTTGTTGGGATTTACTCCTTGGGGTTCAGCTGCAGTCAGCCAGCAGGTCAGCAGCTGGCAGGCAGAGAGTTTGACACAAGCCGGCAGTGCTGGCACAGCACGTCGTTCCTTTCAGAAGCAGAACTTAACAGACAGGTGGGACGGTCAGGTGGGTGCTGACACCTCGCTCAGAAGCTTCCAGAAGGATGGACTGGCAGGAGGTGCCGTGGCTGGAGTTGGGCACTGCAGGCTCAGCTCCTGGGTCCCTCTGTGCCTGGAGCCAGCGAGCCAGTCTGTGCCGTACCTGTGGTTATTCCAGGACAGTTCAAAGGCTCCCAGCCAGGAAAACACACAGGGAATATGCTTCACAGTAACCCTAATACTTACTTCCTAATCCTTTTCTTTTCCAGTTCGTTTTGGAAGTGGATAACTGCTCAGGTTGCAAGGCTAACAAGAGGTTAGTGCATTCCTTATTTTCTAATGATGTGTTTCATGTAATCACTGTAGTTGTCATGTAAATGCATCAAACCCCAGCAGAGCAGGGGGTATCAAATCTCCATTCCCCATCCACCTTTGTGCTGTGAGGGGCTCCTTTGTTTTCCACATCTGTCATGGCTCTTCCTCAGTTGTAACTGTTCTTTTAATTTTGAAGAAAATGCTTTCATTCCCTGTTGGAACACTCAGACCCATCCCTGGAAGTGTTCAAGGCTGGGTTGGACAGGGCTTGGAGTTCCCCGTGTTCAGAGATTCTTCCCTCTTTATATAATGATTTTTTTAATGGAAAATGGAGACCTGAACTTCTGTATTTTCCTCTGAGAGTTGTGAATAATGCCACTAAGTTTCAATACATTAAATACCTTCAGTATATTCAGTAATTGGCAGGGATGATCTGGGGCCAAGAGGTTAAAGTCAGGGTGAGGTCACAGGCCTTCCTGGCTGGCAGACCAGCTCAGATTCCTAAAAGAATCCTAAGAAGCATGAGGTTTTCTGAAAAAATGTAAGAGCTAATGTGTTTTGTACCTTGCAAGGGCTGGGAAAAGGATGGTTTTGATCAATCAAACCCATTATTTGATTAGAGTAATTAATGATATGTCCAATACCTCACAAAGTGAGTCCCAGAGTTCAGATCCTGTTTCAACACAAATTTTTAATTGTGGAATGGCTGAGGTTGGAAGAGTCTCTGGAGTCCAAGCCTTGTAAGCAGGTTCAGCTGCAGCAGGTTGCCCAGGACTACCTGCAATGAAGTTTTACATGTCACTAGTAACTAACTAAAGAACAACAGTAAAAGAAGAAATTGGGATTTCTAGTCCTACACTTATCTGCAGGTTTGGGGTTTGGTATGGGGTGTTTTTGGGTGGTTGAAGTCCTTTAAGTGACTCCTGCAGCTTTGTCTAAGGTAGCAGGTTCTGCAGCAGTGGGAGTGACCAGCTCTTGGATCTCAGAGTCCTTGTGCAAACAGAGAAGTCAGTGACTGGGGCAGAACTGTTCTGGATCCTGGGTCTGTCTGGGTTCAGCTCTGACGTTCCAACGTTGCATTTCCCACCAGAAGTGAACCAGAATTCCTCCTCTTTGTCCCTCAGTGGCAGGAATTGACCTCAGATTTGGGTTTTTTTTTTACTTTCTTTTGTCCCTTACAGTGCTGAGAGCCCAGTTTGGGGGAGCCATGGAAGAGTCTTCCCAACCCGATAAATCCCTGGAGCCGAACGCTCACTCCCGCTTTATGATTGGCTCTGTGTCAGAGGATAACTCGGAGGATGAGACGAGCTCCTTGGTGAAACTGGACCTGCTGGAGGAGAAAGAGAGGTCTTTGTCACCTGTGTCTGTCTGCTCGGACTCCCTTTCAGACCTGGGGCTTCCAAACACTCAGGATGGCCTGACAAGCCATATGAGGTATGGAAAAGTGGTTCTCCAATCTTTTTACCATTCCAAAGACAATCCAAATATTCAGCTTTGTATCCAGGTTTGGCTTCAGATGGTTTTGTTGTGCCAAGACATGCTTCAGTGTTCTGTTTCTAAATGACCTCTTGTATGTTTACCTGTATCAAAACCTTCAATTTTCCGTTGGTTTTAGTGGAATATCTGTGCCTGAATTCCTTAAGCACCTTCCAGACATCTCAGCTGTTGAGTGTTATGGGCTTGGCTATCCTGCCTTGTTTTGTCCTGGCTTTCAGAAAATGGAAATGTGTTGACTGAGATGTTTAAAGTTTTCACTTCTGGGCTGTTCTTTGTTGAGACAAGGACAATATTTGCTTATTTTGTCTTTGCAGGGAATTTGCTGCTTTGTATGTAGCCAGAGAATTGGCAGTGCCCCTGGGTGGGATCAGTGACTCCATATTGGAATGTTCTTTTGGTTTGGACGGAGAAAATTGTGATGGTTGTAGAAAACATTGGTGTCCCTTAGTGTGGTGATAAACCAAGACTTAATGTGGTCGCTGCTGCCTGAGCTCAGGGAGGGGTTGGTCTCAGGGCTGCTCCACTCCCACTCCTAATTCTTTGTGCCTCAAGTGAGCCATGAGTTGGACTTTGGAGATATTTCCTTGTCCAAAGTCCCCTTTATTTTTAGGTGTTGCTGATTTGCATTCCACTAGAGGGATGTGCCTGTTGGATTTTCCCCGATGCAGTCTGGATATCTTGTGGTTTTGGGGTGTCCAGACCACAGTTTCTGTGGTCTGTGATTCTAACTGATAAATGTAAAATGTGGGTGTTGGAATGGATCCTTCCCGAAAGCCCAGCTTCTTACCTCCTTCAGGTTTAACAGAGTTGCTCACCATCATCTGAATTCCCGCTGCCCTGCAGTTGTTTGTTTGTACTCATTCTATTTATGAAAACATAATTTTGGACAGTGTTAAAAGGCTTCCTAACATCCAAATTTGTGGCAGGAGTTTGCAGTCCCCTGTTTTCAAGCATTTTTAGCATGCAAGGAAGGAAATTTTTACTTAGTATTTATTTGTCCTCGACATCTTCCAGCTGGATATAATTTACAACCTTTCTGTCTGCTGGTTCCTGCAAGAATAGGTTGGTGATGGTTTGTTCTGGTGCCCATCAGCCCGGGGTTCTCCCAGCAGATCCTCCCCATGGTCAGAGCCAAATCTAGGAGAGCTTCCTCTTGCTCTGCTCTTTCTGCCTTTTGACAAGGTGCCATCCCATTCCAGGAACACACAGGACAGTCTGAATCCCACTCCAGTTTTTACTGGACAATCCCTCACTACCTTTACTTTGTTGCTATTGAAGAGCTGGTTCATTCCAGAAAGGTTTCTGGGTTTGCCAACCAGTAGTAGATATTTATACAACCAGCTACTCCTTGTTCTTCTGCTTTGCTGCTTTCATTGCTTGTGCAAAGGGATTTTAATCTCCTTTTTTTTTGGTGGTTCCCTTCCCACTTTTGGGAGAAGCTTCTGGAAACACATATTAGCAGACTCTTGAGGTTGGGGCAGAGGGGGGACAGTGGTCTCTATTTTAGAGGGTTGTCATGGTCCTCCTGAGGACCGTGTTCAGCCAACTGGCACTTACACAACAGATATAAAACCTTAAAGCAAATTTACAGAGGGTTGCCTTTCCAAAGCCTGCCAGCTGCAATGATTTGCCAGCACGAAAGGTAATTCTGAAGCAGGAAACTGTAACTATATATATTTTAGGAACAGGAGAACTTGGATGAGCACCTAACCATGAATGTGGAAAGAGACAATAGCAGAGAAAGAAAATCAAGCAATTTCCAGGACACTGCCTGGCACCAGAGAGCCCTCATGCAATAGGGGTGCAACCTTGAGCACCTCTGTTGTAACCTGCTTACTTTGGCAGTCGCTTTTGGGAGCTCTTGACTTCGAGTTAAATTGGAGAGAAATGCCAATTCAAATAAAAAAAAAAAGTTACAGCATTATAGGCTGTTTTTCTAAGATAAACTCAGATGAGTTGAAATACTTATCAGGATGGCTGTCCCTTTCACCAGATTTCTAAACCGTGTTTACAGATGGAGAAACTGAGACAAAGACAACAGCAAAGACAAGTTCAACAACTTGCCTCGAGTCCCTCTGTGACAGTGAGTTCTTGGAACATGGGTGCTCTTGCTTCCAGCATCCTTTGGTGATCACAGAGGTACCACACTTGGTAAAGTGACAAAGATTAAGTCAGGGGGAGTTCTGCACAGTTTGACCAGTGGGTCACACGAGGTGCAGGTTCTTTTTGAAGACGTGGCCAAAAATCTTTCCATTTGCTGGTTATTCTCCCACAGAATAAAGGTAGAGATGGCTCGTCCTTGAGGTGAGGGGCTTTGCTGCAGAGGAGTCCTCCTGAGGGAAAAATCACAACTAAAAATTCCCTATTAAACTGTTTTTGCCTCAACCCACGAGTTTTCCAGCTTTTACCCTTTGGATTCTCTCCCCGATCCTGCTGGTGGGGAGTGAGTGAGCGGCTGTGAGGGCTTGGCTGCTGGGGTTAAACCATGACAGCGGGTGTGTCTGAGCTGGAATCCTTGCTGAGAGCTGGAATCCTTGCTGAGAGCCTCCTCTGCTGGGGCTGGGATGTTCCGTGGGTGCATCCTGCCCAATCTCGGGGTGTCCGTGTGCCAGCCGTGTTTCCCACTGGAGCACGCAGAGCGTGTGTGCTCTGCTCTTTCATCCATCACCTTATTGATCTTTGTTAAGTGTTTATGCTGTTGCTAAAGACACTCTTGCTGGGACAGGTTGTACGATATGGGCTTTCATGCCACGGGAGATCCATGAAGACCTTTGGCTGTGCCAGTTGGCCGCTGCTCCAGGGGGTTGGGAAAGCCACGCTCTGATAACGAACTTTAAATTGGTGTGTGGAACATCAGTGCTTACAAAAGGTGTGTGGGGAGAGTAACCACGCAGGCTGGGGTGTTCTGGTGCTTTGCCTCCTTGTAGCTGTGCTTTATTTAAAGAGTATCAGGAACAACAATCGTGTAAACGCCCTCCTCGCTCTGTAGTTCCAGCATCCAGCGTGGAAAACAAGTGACCTCGAAGAAAATACTCCACTTGTGTACAGTTTGCATCAGCAAAATTTAGTCTTTGTTGTGTTTTTTACCTTTGGAGAATAAACCCAAGTGTACCACTTTTTCTTTTTCCTTTTTTTTTTTTTTGCTCGTGTTGTCTTTTAAGTTCAGAAGTTTCCATCAGCACTTCCAGTCACTCCTGCTGGGATACAGTTGTCCTTGTATTGTAGTGAGCTGTTATACAGTTGCCGTGCTGCTTTCTGAAGTGTCAGTGGTAGATTAAGTAACTTCTCTGTGAATACCACTTGGAGAGGACTTTGGGCCTGCTTTGTTTAATAAATTGTTCTTGATTATTGCTAAATTTAATTTCTAGCTTCCAAGACAGTATCTTGTATCAAATTCTTGTTTAAAATAGAATAAAACCTGGATGTCTTCTGGTATTTATACATCAGGGCTCTGGTTTCATAAGCAATGACATGGGTGTACAGAGTCACCTGACAATCCACTTGTATCAGCTGAAAGCCAAATTTTTGGATGTAGTTCAGCTGTTACTTCTGCTTTAAGCCCACAAAGTTTAGCCCTTCGCACCCAACACTGTTTGGACTCCTCATTAAATAGTCTCAATAAATTATTGAGATGCTTAAGCAGAACTAATCATCTATTAAAGGCAATTTGGAAGAATGCCTCAATGTTAGCCTGGACAGTAGTGGTTGGTGTACCCAGCCTGGCACTGGGACAGGGTGCCTGCTTAGGAACCAGCCTTGGAGTGACTGCACAGAGTCCTGAAGGTAAGAAAGGGTCCTTTTGAGCCTGTTCTGAACTGAAAAAGTTCCTTTGCAGCCCCGCAGTTCGTGGTTAGGAGGTTGCCCTGCAGAGCAGTGATCCTGTGAGATTGTTGGTGCTGCTGTGATTTTATCCCCAGCTGGGCAGGGAGGTACAATGTGCTGTGGTGTCTGCAGGGCCTCCGGGACTGGGCCAGCTTGGATTGGAAATCCAGGATTTCTCCTTTGCTTGCCAGCTCATGGCCATTGACTTCATCCAGCTGGAGTGAAAAGTGAATTTCTTCCTCTGTGTCTTGAGAGAGGAGACTTGTAAGGTGGTTTGGGTTCCTGGCTGTGCCCTGGTTGTACCGATAACCTGTGAATTACAGCTCTTTTCTCCTCTGGAAGCTACTCTTCTTCCTGAACAAACACACTGTAGATTTCTCCTCTGCATACCTGTCAGAAGTTGCATTCTTCTTATTTTGGTGTAAGTTATTTTACTCCCTTTGACCTCAGTTAACAGGGGAAACATCATCTCTAAATTCTGTCATTTGTTGGGAGATTGTGCAAAGATTACTTGGCTGAGATACCACAGCATGACAACGTCTCTCACATGGTTACTTATCTCATACTTCTAATTGAAAGGTAAACAAGGTCACTTGGTCTCTATCAGAAATACTTTAGTGCCCCCTCCTGTATTTTGCTGAATTCCCTCACTTTTCCCCCAGACTGGGACGTGTGGAATCCCCTCACAGCCTAGTGCTGGTATCCTCAGTGGCTGCAGGAAAAGCTGTCAATGAAAGTAGGAAGTGTCATTAAACCTATTTTAGGAAGGGAAAGCAAATAATCTCCAGGCTGGGGAATAACTGGGATCTCTTGACTCCGCGGGTAGCGGGAGCTGGAATGTGCTGCACTGCGCTTTCCAGCCAAGAATGTCCTCCTTCAGGTAAACTTAATGTGAGATTCCCCCACCTACCCCCTAATTCTGGTTTTAAAAGGTCCATTCTTGTGTTCCTGCAGATCAGATCTGTTCAGCACTTGAACTTTGCCAGAGAGCACGGGGAGGGCTCCCTGCCAAGGACTCCAATTCCGCTCCGGGCTCCAGTGTGGGACTATCTTGTACTGTTGTTGTTGCTGTTGTTAACTTTTATCTTGGTGCCAGGGCTTGACCTGGAGAGTGT